TTCATGTTGAGCACAAAGGCGCCTTTACGCTCCATTTTGGTGATGTCGAAGCCCTCCCCGGCCAAGTTGGCACCTGGAGCAAATTCTGCTTCTACGCACTGTCTGGGTGTCCCTTCTGTGCATGACTGACAGGAAGGCTGAAGGAGGGACAGCATGAGGCCAGCCCAGAGGACAATATTCAACTGAAACATGTTGCCGTAAAGTTGGATGATGGAGGCAAACTGGAAAAGAAACAGTTTTATAAACATAAGCAAATCATTAGCACACAATAAATCTTCCAAACTGAATGATCATATGTCACTGGGCCCTACAATCTGAATACAGCAATGTAATATCCAGTTGTGAACAAAAGTTTACATACACCTTTAAAGATCATGTATATCACGGCAGTTTTGAGTTTCCAATGACAAGTAAAACTATTACTTTACTGTTCTTTCATAGATTTATTATAGATCTTTTGGAAAGATTGCAAAGTCTGCTGGGTCAAAAGTATACATACAGTAACTTGAATTTTCAGTTTTGGTGATATACAGTTGAAGCCAGAAGGTTGCATGCACTGTACAAAAAGATATGTAACTTTTTTGTCATGATCCACAGTGAAAGTGCAAATTTGTGGGCAGAGCTTAAAAGGCTTGTGTGAGCAAGGCAGCTTACAAAAGATTCAGTTACAGCAGTTCTGTCAGGAGGAATGGGCCAGAATTCCAGTAAACTGTTGTGAGAAGCTTGTGGAGGGAAACCCAAAACGTTTGACCCAAGTCATACAGTTTAAAGGCAGTGCTACCAAATACTAAGGAAATGTGTGCAAACCTCTGACTTTGAAGAAAGTGATACCTCTCATTTTTCTGACTTTTAGCAAATAGAAATGATTTTGGTAATCCTAACTGACCTAAAACAGGAAGAGTTTAGTCTGATTTAATGTAAGAAAGTGAGAAAAAAGGTTATGTGTCTTTTTATACAGTGTATGTAAACTTCTGGTTTCAACTGTACTTGATCTTTACAAGTGTATGTAAACTTTTGTTCACGACTGTAAACTAAGAAAAAGAAAAAAATGGTAAAATTCATGAAATATTAAGTCCCATCTTTGAAGTTACATTAACAAAAAAAATGAAAAAGCAAAAGTCAGCCAGTGATATTTTCCGAATCATACTTAGCTGCATGTCACAGTGATACCAAACAAAACACACAGAATACTTTTTGTTATTTGAAATACTTGATCACATTTGATGAGCTTTCACCACTGATTGAACATGTGTGACAAGTACTACAAAAACAAAATTATTGCTAGATAGCCTAATGCAAGTAGAGCAAAGATCTTCAGTTTTGGAATGGTTCCCGTCATATTTGCAGATTATGAATCAATGGCGTGATGGGAAATAACATTGAAAATTCCCAGCTTTTATCGTCATTAGTTCCTGAGATATTGTTATCCAAACAGTCTCATATTTCAATATAAGAAAAAATGTGTTCAAAGTGGGTACATGGGCAATTTTGTACCTTTTTACATTATCTTTACTTTATTCTTACATACATTTATAAATGTCTATATTTTGTTCGATAATCATTTCAGGAAGATGAGAGATGGTTGAGCAGAAATTGAATATTTGAGATGGAAGTACCCTGAATGAGTCAGACTAGGTTATGTAGGAAGTGCTATCTTGAAAAAATGCATTTTGTAGGTGCACCCAGTGAATGACACCTCACCCCTCCAATGGGCCTGAGGTCTCGACACGGAGTTGACTCCGAAAACCCTGACTGTTTGACAGCTTTTTTTTGTACTTCACGACCGGTTGCATAACTTTGGGCATACAGTGAATCTACCAACTCTTAGAAGTGTCTGAAGCCTTTGACTCAGTTTTTTACCCGTAAAAAAGACGTCTTTTGGGAAATGTGCAAACATGCATTGGCATATCAACTTCCAGCCTGTCCTTAAGGTTTAGTGAACATCTGTATTTTCACAGATTCTTTCCTTTGTAGAACACAACCAAAGACAGTGCAGACGGTCCCTATGTAATGTCACTTATTTGTTTCCTGAACAAATGTTTTGAGACTCAGTGTGGTGGCCGGACTCTTTGTAACTACTGGTTAATCAAAAAACGAACAAAGAGGTGAACTGTTCTGTGATGGCACCCAGCATACCACTCAAAGTAGCCACAACCTTAGTTATGCTTAACTTTAAGAAGAATTTAACTTTTAACATACAGGCCTTCGGGGATGCTCAGTCATTTGAGGAACTACGGTTCTGACA